GTTCCCCAAACTCTTCCTTCCGTTGAGAATAAGTCGTGATCTCCACCGAAGATAATCTCTAAGCTGCGATAAAGAAGCTTTGAGGATATGTTATGATCTCCACAAGAATGATCTCTTATCTACTATAAAATGGCTCTAATCTGAGAGAGAAAGGGACATGCTCCATCAGAGACTTTCAGAAGACGAACCGACTACCGGAGATTATTGTTTTCTTTGATTCTCCATTCCCCCTCTCAAAGCTTGTATCTCCGTTCTCCATACCTTTGAATCAATAAAATACCCGGCGACTGAAGCCATTGAAGAGTGGACGTAGGTCGAATTGACCGGACCACTATAAATTGTGTCTTCTTTAATTTTCTCATTGATTTCATTGCATTTATTATCTATACTTGACAGGTGGTGTGCAAAACCATTTTTGTGCATCATCACATAGGACTTGATTACGGTACTGTCAAAAAAAATTTCGTACCATATTTTTAAAATTTATTATTTCAAAGAATATTTTTATAATTTTTGTGGGTTATTTATAACCAAAATATTTACCATTTGTGTGTTGATTTACCACTTTTATAGGTACTTTTACCACTGTTGTGGGTATTTTTACTATATTTGTGATAATTATTTTTTCCATGTTTCTTAAATAAAAAAAAAATTATCACTTTTGTAGTTGATTTATAACATTTGTGAGTATTTTTACAATATTTGTGAATGTTTTTACTACTGTTGTGATAAATATTTTTACCATTTTTTGGGGTACCACAACAATAGTAAAACTATCCACAAATGTGGTAAAAGTTACCATAAATGTGATAAATCTCTGCATAGTATCGAAAAGCTTGTGCGATGTACCGTAGTCTACTCCGTTTACATAAGAGGGATTTGACAACTATATCGTTACAAAAATTTTGGTATCATACCTCCAAAATTTATTAGTTTAAACAGCGTATTTGCAACCAAAAAATTTACCGGTTTTATGGTTGATTTACAACTGTTGTTGGTGTTTTTACCATATTTGTAATAACTATTTTTATCACTTTTCTTATGTACAACAAAAATAATTACTTTGGTATGATGAAAAAATGGAAGGATAAAGTTTTGAAAGAATGAAAAGTTGGATATATAAATAAAACATTATTTTTGGTAAGAAAGAAAAAAAGGAAAGATGAAAAAGTGGATAAATTAACTTTCCTTTCAACTTATCAAAATTAATCCCTCAAAAATAAAAAAGAAAGTGGATAAAAAATGGATTATTTGTGTTGAAATGTATTTTATTTGTCTATATATCTTTTGATACATACATACATTTTGTATATATTAATTTCATAAATAAATAAAATGATAAAATATGTATTTACATTTTTTTTAAAAATTAAAATTTTAAAATTAAAAATTTTAAAAATATTTTTTCCATCTTAGCTAAGGATGAAATTTTGTGACTTAACATGATGACACGACTCGAATTCGACACGAATTTTATGATACGAACTTAATTATAACTCGACACAACCTCGAAAATAACCTGAGACACGAATACAAAATATATATTTAGTTCAACCCGTCAAATCTAAAATTGGCATGAAATATATATGGTACCTTTTAAAAAAACTTGGTACCATATCTTCAAAATTTATTAGTATAATTGGTGTATTTACAACTAAAAAAATTACCATTTTTGTGGTTGTTTTACTATTATTGTTAATGTTTTTATCATATTTGTGGTAACTATTTTTATCACTTTTTTTATGTACAAAAAAAAATAATTATTTTTGTAGATAATTTATCATATTTGTGAGTGTTTTTACTAAATTTATGAATATTTTTATTACTATTGTAATAATTATTTTTAACTCATAACTTTCTCAAATCTCATCATAGGAAGGAATACACAATTAAGAATTAGTCATGGCCAGCAAAAGGCTTTGATACATATGCTGGTAAATTGCTACTTGTGTGCAAATGTGTTAGTATACAATTTGATATGGTCCCTTTTGTCTCGAGCAATGCTATAAACAGTAAACCTGTGAACCAAATCATTTGTGGTTGACGAATCTAACTCCTACAGACGATTTTGCGGTGCAGTGCACATAGTTTTATCCTTTGTCCTCGTGAACTTGAAAATTGTTGTCTTTCAACGCAATTTTCATGAATATCGTGGACTTTCTATTATTGATAAGAGCTTGTTGGACGGTTGGGTCTCTCGACAAAAAAATTGTATGACAGCTGGCAAATTTTTGTTTTATTAAGGTAAAGTTTGGACAACTGTCATGTTGCATCAAATGACCCAGCTCCTGGACCATTTGACGGCTTTTTACAAGTACGTACGATTAGTCAACTTATATAGAATCCGCGGTCAGGGACGAAACTACTTGGAGATCAAGGGGGACCATCCCCCCTCCCTTTCTCCCCCCTTTCACATTTCCAAAATTATCTATATTACTTCTAGTTATTTGAAAATTTTTTTCTCACTCTTTTATATTTTAAAATTCTTATTTTTCTTAGGATATATTATTTAGTATATTCAAAAAATTTGATGACTTGATATTAAATAATTACGTCGTGGATATTCATCACTTGTGTGAGCGTTTTTCTTAACGAAGAAGAATGGTTAGATGAATTATTGACCAAAAGAAAAAATAAGGAAAAACATGACAAAATTGAGTTAGAACCATTACTATATTAATAATATGCATTAATAGATGAGTAAAGTTTATGAAAATGTCGTGTGAAATTAATATTTTTGATTTGCACCGTATTGTAAATAAAAAAAATAATTAACCGTGATAGTTTTTATATTAATACCACATAAAAATTGATTTTGATAAGTTATTTACAATTCAGATGTGACATTATCCGTGGTCGCGGACCAAACTACTTGGAGATTAAGGGGGACCATCCTCCCCTCCCTTTCTCCGCCCTCCTTTATGTAAGTTGACTAATCGTACATACTCCTAAAAGCCGTCAAATGTCTAAAAGCTGGGTGATTTGATGCCATATGAAAATTGTCCAAATTTTACATTAAGAGTTATATTATATGGACTTAAAAAATAAATTTAATAAATTTAATTATTAATTTTATTATGAATTTTAATATTTATTAGAATCTATTACTTATTACTTATTCAATGGTTGATATCTAACATTACTCTTGCCTTAATAAAACAAAAAATTGCCAGCTATCGTACAAATTTTTGGTTGAGAGACCCAACCGTCCAACAAGCTCTTATCAATAATAGAAAGTCCAGGATATTCATGAAAATAGCATTGGAAGACAACAATTTTCAAGTTCACGAGGACAAAGGATAAAACTATGTGCACTGCACAGCAAAATCGTCTGTAGGAGTTAGATTCGACAACTACAAATGATTTGGGCTCTAAATTGATATTTTTTGTTGGACATGTTCAAAGGATTAAGAACAATCATCGGAGTAAAAGGAAATCATGCATCTCCCTTATTTAGAATATGGCATGAATCCTGCATAGAAGGCAGCCAGAGCATTGCTTATTCATCGTCATAGGGCTTGCGGTGGTGGTGATGATGCTTAGGGTGTTTCTTCTTTTCTTCTTCTTCTTCTTATTCATCATCATCATCATCATGTACTCTTCCCCCTTCCTCAGACCTCCCATAGCTCTGCCAATCATGAGCTAGCCTCCTGTACTCTGTCCTCTCAGGCCTCCAACCGGACCGGACCCATATCCACCACCGCCCTCCTCCTCCCCATAACTGGTCTTCCGCCGGTATTCCGTACTGGGCTCCTCGTACTTGCTCTTTCTTCCATACCCAGATCCATAATCTGAACTGTGTTCCTCCTTCCGTCCATAACCGGAGCCACCATACCCAGATCCATACTCCGAGTTGGGCTCCTCATATTCACTTTTCCTCCCATACCCAGATGCATAGTCGGAACTGAGTTTCTCATACTCACTCCTCCCTCCACAGCCAGATCCATATTCTGAGGTTGCCCTCTCGTATTCCGGCATCCGACCATACTCAGATCCATATTCTGATGTGGGCCTCTCGTATTCCGGCTTCCGACCATACCCAGATTCGTATTCAGATCCGAACCCAGCGCCACCACCAGGTCGATTCATCCCGGGCTGAAACCCAGAATTGGGCTGAGGCTTCTCATACCCATAACCATCACCACCGCCGCCGAATTCCTCAGATGGACGAGTCACACCAGGTGGGACTCCATACGAAGGAGAGAGTCGGGGCTTGCGACGGGCATAGCTGTTGTACTCGTTCTCGAGTGCTTCATTGGCCTCTTAAAGTAATATCACTAAATCTCTAAATAAAGTTTAGAAATAAAGTCTTTATAGCATCGCTGTGTCCAAAACGTAGCAGGAATGACTCGTTAGAAATGAACAATGCAGGTGGGAATTACTGTTCAACACGTTGATTGTGGATCACCCGAGCATAGTATTCATTTCACCCAAGCAAATGGTAAAACAAATTTGCTTAAAATATTTCCAAATACTAATGAAACAAATGGGATAACACATGCTTAAAATAATTCCAAATACATGATCACGTACATAATATAATAAGCTCACGTACGTATTGTAATATGGGTTTCACTTGAATTTTCTGTTTATGATTCATTAGAAAAATAAAGAAAAAATGTATTAGATAAGATCTCACATTTAAATAATAACATATAATTTAGGTTACAAGAGTAATGTCTAATGGTCCGTTTGGTAGGGTAGATAGAAAAATAGAAGGATTGAAAGTTGGAATGATACACTTTCTATCTTTTAAGGGATGAATCATTCTTTCTTTCCATTATGTTTGGTAAGAGGGATGAAAATAACGAATAATTAATTTTTTGTTTGATAAGATGGAAAAAATATTTTTTTTTTTTTTTTTGAAAAAGTATAAATAAATATTTTTACATTATATGTATATGGTAAATTAATATATACATATATATCAAATGATATATAAAAAAATAACATATATTTCAACACATATAATTAACTTTTCATCTCAATTTTGGAACGATCAATTTTGTGAGTTGGAAGGAAAACTCATCCATCCATTTTTCCATCTTTCTTTTTGTTTTTTACAAAACATGATATTTTATTTGTCCTTCCAACTTTTTATCCTTCTAACTTTACATCTTTACGTTTTTCTAGCATACCAAACGAAGCATAAGTCTAAAAATTAGAACAATGATATACACACCATCTATGTGTACCACTTAATCTATATAACTTATTAATATGACACGATTTCAACCAATATATTCAATGAACTTAATAAGACCTACAAATTTACTAGTTCATATTGAGATAGTAAACAAAGATATTATAGAAAAATGTTGTATGTAGCATTGATAAAAACATGTTTGTAGAAAATCTTGACATGGTGTTTGTACACATTTACATCGAAAAATATAAATTTGAATCATGCCTTAGAATAAAAAGATTGACAATATAAAGTATTAAACTATATGTTATTAAGATTAATAACTGTAAAATTAGGTGTGACCACGGACATGGACAGAATTATGATTTTATCATAAGGGAGGCCAACCAAAAATAGTGGCACTGCTTCAAATTTTTTTAAATGGCGTCACTCAAAAAATTAGTGACAATGTCACATCTTAATTGTAAATAACTTATCAAAACCAATTTTTTTGTTGTATTATTGTAAAAAATAATTTAGGTCATAAAATTCAAAATTTAATTTGTAATTACTATTACGACAATCAATTTATGACAATATCACGGTTTATTTATTTTTTTAATTATGATAAATATTAATTTCACACGACATTATCATAAAATTTACTCATCTATCAATGCATATTATTAATATAGTTGTATCATCGTGTTCGAGTCGTATAATCGTGTTAAGTCACAAATTTTCACCTCTAGTTAAGATAGAAAAATATATTTTTTAATTTTTTAATTTTTAATTTTAAAAAAAATATATAAATACATATTTTGTCATTATATTTAATATGAAATTAATGTATATATAATGTATGTATATATCAAAAGATATATAGACAAATAAGATACATTTCAACACAAATAATTAACTTTTTATTCACTTTCCTTTCCATTTTGGAGGGATTGATTTTGATGAGTTGGAAAGAAAATTAATTCATCCACTTTTCCATCATTCCTTATCAAATATGATGTTTTATTTATTTATCGAACTTTACATCCTTCCAAATTTTTAACCTTCCATTTTTCCATCGTACCAAACGGAGCATTAGTAAAAACAATCACAAATATGATTAATCACTCACAAAAGTAATTATTTTTTTTGTACATAAAAAAAATGATAAAAATAATTACCACAAATATGGTAAAAACACCAACAATGGTAGTAAATCAACCATAAAACTGGTTTGACGTAGTCAGATCCCTCTTATGTAAACGGTTTGTCGTAGGTTTTTTTTTTTTTGATCAAAGTTTTGACGTAGGTTCGCAGTTGTTGGAGAAAGGAGAAAGAGACCATTAGCACATGCTTAATGGGCAGAAAAATTGATTCCAATGATAGAAGTCAACGTCTATAAATGTAGAAGACCAGACAACAGAGAAGTGATCCACCATCAACACTTTAACGAAGAGCATACCAGAGTTTTTCTCTGCACTATTTAGTTTATACTTTTATTATTTACATTATTGTTCGCTCCAATTATGTTCGTTCTTTTTTAGTTTCCAGTTTGTTAGCCTCATTTTTAAGTAATAGTTTTAAGTCCTTGATCTCCTGGACGACAAAAGAATTTAGTGGTAATCTTATACTTTATTTCAATTATTTGAACAATCACAATTTTAGAACATTACATCGATTCGAATAAGTAAAGTCATAATGTTTTGAACTCTTAATGCCATTTAAACTTTAACACACCCATCTTTTTCAATTGCGGGATGAAAAAAATTCAAATACTGATGAATGTTCAAAGAATGTTATTTGAATATTATTTGGGGGAGTAATGCTACGCTAACCAATTTTTGGGATTAAATTTAGAACCCAAATGACATGACAGTATATTATTTGAAGCTTTTATTGGAGTCCAAATGATATGGCACAAAAAAAAAACTCATGTCAGCTACCATGTCATTTGAACCCTAAATTTAGTCAATATAACATTATAGCCTGTTTAGTATGCGTGAAAATAGGGAGGATGAAAAATGGAGGAAGAAAAATGGGAGGGAAGGAAATAATTTCCACTTTTGGTTTGAAAGGAAAACGGAAGGAAATGGAAAGTTGGGAGAATTTACTTTCCCTAGCGCCCACCAAAATCTTTCCCCCCAATTTTGGGCGGAATGTAGATTGAAAAAGTGGAGGGACGATGGCATATTAATAAATGGACTATTTTACCTTTTTTTGTAGACCAAAACCCATTCACTTCCGAATTATATACTGATTAGGGTTCAACTCACCAACGACTCTTGAAACTTCGACGGGAGAAAGAGCTTAGACGTTTGAAGGAGTCTGCGATCTCAGCCTTTCTTCACGTGAATTTCTTCGCCCTTTTTCATGGTAAGTACCCCCAACTTCCGGCTAGTTCTTTGCGCTCACCTCTAACGGCACTTCCCGTTATTCTTTGACCTCCCACTCGAAAACCCCCTCGTTTCTTCGTTACCAAAAGCCACCAATCAAAATCAAAATCCAAAGAAAAAAACTCCCAAGGTTTCTCCATCTCCTCCCCGTAAATCCACTACAGTGGTCTCCCTGCATCTCTCTCTCTATCTCTCTCTTGTACTTTGCTGTTCAATCCTTTTGAATTTGATTAACTTGCTTGATTCTTGAATAGCCGTGGAACTGTTGTAAGTATGGTATTTGGGTTTTCTTTCTAGATTTTTACCTTTTGATTTTCAACCTCAATCAAAGAATTTAGAGAAACAAATTGATCGAGAGAAAGAAAAGAATTAAAAAAAATATGTTATTGACCCTGTTAAATTACACTTTAATCCCAAGTTGTTCTTAGAAATAGATACTATGAAAAATAATTTTATTCCGAATTTTGATGCCTGCTAACAGGCTGTTTGATGCCGTTTGTGCGTGCAAGATCTTGCACAATATAAACACGAGAACAGATCTCTCCCATGGTGAACTCGAGTCAGTCAATTGAATGATCAACTTTAATGTTCAGAACAGACTGTGAGACCCGATGGTGGCTTGGAACGGTAATGGGTGACTTTCGTGAATCAACAGAGCGGTCCAGTAAGGCTGAGGGAGCTTCCTGGAACAGAAAAAAATGAGTTAGGAGGGCGCTGGAATGTTTTTCGGTGTTTCCCCTCCAACGATCAAGTCAGTTCTTTGAGAGAGGGGAAGGAGAAAACGCTGTATTTCTTTGAGAAAAAGGTTTTTTGTTGTATACCGTCTTGCCTTTTATGAGGAGTATTTATACCTCAAAAACTCATGATTGTTGTCAGTGTGGTCAGTAGGTGATCATTATATACGGGCAACGTGCGCACTGATTCCTATGAGGAATGTCTTCTCTCTTAACTGCTCGGGACCCCGAACAACCAATGCTTCGTTGTCGGCCTGTCGAATATTTAATGAGCTTCTCTCGGCAAGGATGTAATAAATGCCCAGTCATAGGGACATTTATTACCTTTCACTTCTAAGCTTTCTTGCATTAAATGATGTCTCATCAAGGGAATAGTGCACTAAATGCTTGTTTTCTCAAGTCGTGTGTCAATAAGGGCATCTCAGTGTTTTTGTTTTTGATCTGACACAATATGTCACGCGCGCATTCCCCATTGGTTGTGTCTTCTGTCTTCTTGTACCTTTTGACACCAATTGTATAAGACGAGGTCATGATGGCTAACATAGCCTAGCCTAGGCTAATGACCTGTACATCAATAGCATCTGCAGTAACAGAGAACGTCATCCTGGACGGGTATGTCTCGGTACTAAGGGGAGAGGTACATGTAGGGACTGATGTATCCCATATCCGACCGAGGGATACTTGTCGGTACGTAAACGTACTGGGTGTCGTTGATCCCTATGAACAGTACCTCGGAGGAAGAGGGACTTGTGAACCGACAGGTACTTGTCGTGATCACAGTAATAAGAATTTACTGATACCGAGAACACGTGTATTTATTTTGGAGTATTTGAAAATATCCCATCACCTTTGCTAAGAAGATAGTGTTGATTTGCTTGAAATTCTTGGAAAGATAAGGATGGCGGTGATGGAAATTTGGGACCGGGAGTTTCTGCTTAATTCTTAGGGTGAATTTACTGTTAATATTGTGTTTTCTTTTTTAGGCTTGTTGAGTTTGATTGTGAAGATAGGCGCCTATACCTTGTTTTTTGGAGTTTGGTTGTTTTGTATGGGGCTGGGCCTTTTATTTGCTTTTTGTAATTTCAGCTTTGCGAATAAATATATATTTTTTTTTTTAAAAAAGAGGGGATGTATACTGAACAGGTGATTCTTTCAATTCAACCCTTTTATCAAACCTTCTATGATAATTACTATAATGCCATTTGTCATTTTTTAATTAATACTTATAAATCATTCAAAGCAAATTTAATTCTTCCAAAATTAATTCGTAACAAAAATAAAAAATTCACTTAAAATATTTAAGGGTAGAATTGTAAATTGAACTTTTATGTTTTTCCTTTCCTTTCATTTTTTATCCAATACCAAATAATAAAAAATATATTCATTTTATTTTTTATCCCTCCTACCAAACAATAAGAAGGAAAAATAACTTTATTTCCTTCATGAATGAAAAGCTTAGTCATTTCACTTGTTTTTTCGTTTCTTCTTTCCATCATTTGTACTAAACAGACCATTAATGTATTTGGGAATCTTATTTAAGAATTTAATAAATTACAACTATTGGATCGATTATAAACACCTTTTAACATTGAAATTCACAAATAATTTGATTGTTATATTGCATAGGCCTATTTTTTTTTAACCAACCCAAATGTCGGCGATTTACTATCACAAAGCAAACATACTTCCACACAACTCTAATATAAGCCACATATTTTTTGATATTTTTTGTTGGACATGTTCAAAGGATTAAGAACAATCATTGGAGTACAAGGAAATCATGCATCTCCCTTATTTAGTTGCTTATGCATCGTCATAGGGCTTGCGGTGGTGGTGGTGGTGGTGATGCTTACGGTGTTTCTTCTCTTCTTCTTCTTCTCCATATTTCTTGCGACCATAGCCTTCATCCTTATCATCAGGCCTCTCATAACTAGGCTTCCTGTATTCTCCCCCCCCCTCCTCAGACTTCCCGTAGTTCTGCCTCTCATGAGATGGCCTCCTGTACCCCTCAGCTTCTTGGGTCTCATAGCTCGGACCGCCCATACTCTGTCCTCTCAGGCCTCCCACCGGACCCATACCCACCACCGCCCTCCTCCTCCCCATAACAGGTCTTCCACCCGTATTCCATACTGGGCTCCTCCCACCGGACCCATACCCACCACTAGGTCGATTCATCCCAGGCTGAAACCCAGAATTGGGCCGAGGCTTCTCATACCCATAACCACCAGCACCGCCGCTGAATTCCTCAGATGGACGAGTGACACCAGGTGGGACTTCAAACGAAGGAGAGGGTCCGGGCTTGCGACGGGCATAGCTCTTGTACTCGTTCTCGAGTGCTTGATCGCTGTCTTGAATTTACTCGTTAGAAATGAACAAGGCAGGTGGGAAGTACTGTTCAACACGCTGATTGTGGATCACCCAAGCATTGTATTCATTTCACCCAAGCAAATGGGATAACAAATTTGCTTAAAATATTTCCTAATATTAATGAAACAAATGGGATAACACATGTTTAAAATAATTCCAAATACATGCTCAAATACGTATTGTAATAAGACCTCAATCTTTTATAGTATACTGAACCCAATGATTACCTTAAATTAGATCTTTCATTACGTTGATATAATATTTTAGATCTTTCATTACGTTGATATAATATTTTCTCAATCTTGAACGTTAGGGTCCTTCTCCCTTGGAATTATCATAATCATCATCATTCATTATCTGGACTAAAGCATAAATCTTCCAGTTCCAATCTGTCCCAGAACTCTGTACCACTGGGTTCACATTCTTGATTCTCTGTGATCTCATTGGGATTGCTTTCTGGATTATTTGTCTGCTGAGTGGTGCTTGGCAATTCTAGGTAGTCCGACAACGGAAAGTTGGTCTTGGCTCTCTCCCCCCGGAACTCCACGGCTTTCAAGTCATAAGCTCTGGCGGCTTCCTCCTCCGTTTGGAACGTGCCAATCCACACCGGCACCGCACGCCGCGGGTCCCAAATCTCGGCCGCCCACTTCCCCCCAGGCCTCTGTCGAACTCCCCTGTACTTCTTGTTCTTCTTTCTCTTTCTTTTCCCTTCCTGTCTTGTGCTACTACTAGCAGAAGCACTAGGGCTGGTCCCCCTTGTTGGAAATGGTGATGATGACATGGCATTCTGAGTGGTTTGTAGGAGTTGTTGGGCCACTTCAGTGTTGGTGTATCCACAATCATCGTTGCCGGATATTACTTGCTTGAGAGCATCGACCATGTTGGTGTGTTGTTCCTCTTGGCTTAAAAATTTTCTTGGTCGGGGGTTCTGACAGGATTTCTGCATTTTTCAGGGATCGTTGGGAGAGGTTAAAAAGACAAATCTTTTATATTTTTCCAACTTCGACAAAAATGAAATAAAAAAAATTGGTATTCTTTTCGAGAAAGATTCAAATTAAAAAGGAATCATAAACAAAACCATGAACAAGTGATAGAGGGGGAGTGTAGAGATCGACGACGGGCCTCGCAGAACAGGGGGTGAACTCTTATAAAGCATTGAGCAGTCTACGTTGCAGCCAGCGGGCACGCACTTTACACACGGGATTGTAAAAAGGTCACATATCGCCACGTTGGAAGTCAAGAATCAAAAGCAAAATTTTGATTGGACACTACATAAATCATACAGTACAAGAATTAACGACTATGCCGCGTGTCTTGATTAAGCATTATTATTAACAGTAACACGGAGATTATTTTTTATTTAACAATATTGCATAAACTTAAAATGTTAACTTGATTAAAACTTTATTATTAATTTAACAGTTAGTCTTAGTATTTAGGAAAAATTTTAATCACATTCTTTTTAGTTTATCATATCTTTAATGATACTTCCTCTATTTTCTGAATCATCGTTGACGCCTCTATTAGATTAAAAATGTTAATTATAATTCAATTTTATTAAATTATTCATGATATATTTTAGTAAAACTTCATTCACACACCCTATAAATAAACATATCTTCAATGAACCCCCTCTATTTTCTAAATATTTTTATATATGAAAATTTGGGCTGATTAAAATTTGATTTTAGTTAATTAAAATTTATTTTTTATGTATTAAAATTTCAGTCGATTAAAAATTACATTTTCTTATGTACTAAAATTTAAACCAATTAAAATTATATTTGAGGCTCAAATCAAATTTTAATCAATTCACATTAAATTTTAATTAGGGATGCAACTTGGGTTGGACATCCCACTTTCAATCCGAGCTCAACCCGAAAAAATTAGGGCTTGAGGGTCAAAAAACTCCAACCCGAATTCAATTTGGGTTGGGCTCGAGTTAAGCCCCGGGTTCACGGGTTCAACCTGAACCCAACAAATTAAAAAAAAAAATTATTTACATATATAAAGTATTAGCACTGATTTTTAATTTTTAGTGTGAAAACAGATGATCAATAATCGTGCACTGTTTATGAATGAAATATATGGGTTATGTTTTATGAATTTGTAATTATTCTCCCCTCTCTCTGTCTCTCTCGCGGTGGACTGGTGGCAATGGTAATATATGTTCTGATTATGGTTTTTATGTTAAAAACTTGGTTGAAGTTATTGGTTGTTAATTTATTTGAATATTATGTGATATTTGTATTAGGTTTAAAACAACAAACCTATTTTGGATTCTACTCGAACTCAACCAAAATTAAACTCGTTAACCCGAAATCATTAACTCGAATTCAACCCGAGCCCACCCGAATTAAACTCGGGCAATGCTTGGGTTGAGTTTTTCAACCCGAGGTAGGGTTAGGGTTGAAGATTATATACCTAGGGTTGAGGTAGGATAACCTGCCTGAGTTGCACCCATAATTTTAATTAGCCTGAATTTTGATACATAAACAAATATAAATTTTAATCGACTCAAATTTTAACATGTAAAAAATAAATTTTAATCAACTTGAATCGAAATTTAATAAAAAAAAATATAAATTTTAATAGACTCGAAGAGAATTTTAATCGGGATTAAAAGCTCAAGTAGAACTCAAATCAGCTCAAATTTTAATACTTAAAAAAAAAGACTTTTAATAGGCTCGAATTTTAATACGTAAAAAAATATATAATTTAATTAGCTCAAATTAAATTTTAATCAACTCAAATTTTAATATATAGAAAACAAAATTTTAATCTGCTTAATTTTTTTTATGTAGAAAAATGAATCTTAATCAGCTCGAATTTTAATCAAATTTTATGTAGAAAAATTGTTTTGAATTTGTGTTGGGGAAATTTTGATATTTTAAATAATTTATATTTGTTATAAATGGTGGTTTAATGGTAGGGGTGTCAGTAATATTTAGATATAAACTATAAGGGATGTCAATGATATTTTTGATAATAGACGGAGTGTCCTTTTTTTTTTTTTGATCAATCAACAAAGCATCATAGTCTTTCATTAAGTTGGAAAATTCGAGTTACAATCAGTCGTAATGAAAGTCTTAAGCTCACGTGGGGGAGAGCCTAACCAATTTGGCGGGAGCAAATTGTTTAGTGTAGCGACTGCCACCTAATGAGCTGCCTTATTACAGGTCCTAGACTTGTGTAGAAAGCTAAAATTATATACCCTAGCAAAATATCTAATGTCACTAATAATTACACTTACTTCCCAAGGGGGATCCTCTTCGTTTGAGCACAGCTTGAAGATGTTCAGACAGTCACTGAGAATTGTAGCATTAATAAGCAGTTGGGTTTCTGCCAGAATACACGCTTGTCTCACTGCTTCTGCCTTCGCAAGAAGACTCGATCTAGCAGGGAAACGCTTAGCACTGCCACCAACAATCTCTCCCCTTTCCTTGCACGCCACCACACCATAGGCAACATTGGCAAAAATTGGTTTGAAGGCTCCATCACAGCATTTAATAACCTCTGCCTTTGCTTCTTGTATAGTTGCCTCCCTTGTCGCTAAACCTCCATGGCCCTTCATCGTATCCTTGGAGCCACATCTCAAAAGATCACACCATATACCATCTGCACAAATGACTATGGCCAAGGCGTTAACATCTTCTCTGTTAAAAATAAAGTGGTTCCTCGCCTTCCAAATAGTCCAGCCCACAGTTGCCATCTTCCCAAAGACCTCCAGACTACCATTAGCATCCTTCACTAGTTGCAAGGCCATAGAGGATCTACTAGCCACCGCCATAAATGGAGATGCCCCACAGTGGACATTGAGGTTCAGGCCGAACCAAACTCTAGAGGTCCATTCACACTCAAACAGCAGATGTTCAATGGATTCAGGAGCAAGGTTACAAATTTGGCAGATGGGGGAAAATGTGCACTTCCTTTTAAAGAGGTTTTCATGATTGGCCAGAGAGTTATGGCATGTTTTCCACAAGAAATGTTTTACCTTTACCATGGCTTTCATATTCCAGATACACTTCCACAGACTAGGGTTGGAGGGATTATAGGAGCTTGCTTCTTGTGGATTCGGGGCATTCTTAAGCCCCAGTCTATACCCTGACATAACAGTGAAAACACCCTTACAGTTAGGCCACCAAATTCTCTTATCTTCCCCCCTTTTGCTGGTAAAAGGATGGCATGAATCGCTCTAACCTCTTCGTGAGAAACCAGAGTGGATAAGGAAGCATAATTCCATCCATAGGGGCACTTCCGAAATGATATCAGCAACCTTGATGATATTGCAGTCGTGGGGCTTGGGAGAATGAAGTTCCAGTCTAGGGAGATATGGAATCCATTTATCCTCCCAAAAATTAACAAACTCCCCATTCCTTATCTGCCACATGGTCCCTTGGGCCAACAAATCTCTCCCATACAGAAGACTCCTCCAAACCCATGAAGGTCTTGATCCACATTTTGCCTTCATAAAGTCAGTATCAGGGAAGTAAATTGCCTTTATAAATTTAGTCCAGAATGACTCAGGTTGATTGATCAGCCTCCAACATTGCTTTGCCAACAAAGCCTGGTTGAACAACTTAAAATCCTTGAATCCCATCTCTCCATCTTCTTTGGCCTCAATCATTCTGTCTCATTTCTTCCAGCAAATGCCACTCCTAGCCTCTTTACCTTTCCACCAAAAATTCCTCACATTCCTGTTCAGCTTATCGCAAAAGTTTTTTGGAAATGCAACAACCAACATAGCATAGTTTGGGATTGCTTGGATGACTACTTTGATCATAACTTCTTTACCAGCTTGAGAAAGGCAACTACTCTTCCACCCTTGAAGTTTTTTCGCAATTCTTTCAAGCAAGTAACCAAAGATCTCTTTCCTTGAGCTCCCCCAGACAATCGGAATACCCAAGTACTTAGCACAATGAGGCACTGGTTGCATTCCCAGTAGTTGAAAAAACGTGCTCTTTTGCTCCTCAGTAGTATTACTGGAGAAAATGACACCAGGCTTATTATAATTAGCACACTGCCCAGACGCCTCATAGTACTTCTGTAGGATCTTCATCAGCTCCCTAATGCCCCTTTCTTTTGTTTTGATAAAGAACAGTGAATCATCCGCAAAAAATAAGTGAGAAATGGTAGGACTTATTCGTTTGATCTTAATACCTGACAGCTTCCTCTCCACAACATTTTTCGATATCATAGCCGATAGCACATCCACAACAATTATAAACAGATAGGGGGATAACGGGTCTCTCTGCCAAATTCCCCGTTGAGGCTTAATATCACAGATTTTTTTCCCATTCAAAACAAACTGCAGGGAAACAGTGCTAACACACTGCATTATGAGCCCAACCCATCTTCTGTCAAAGCCTAGTTTTAGCATAGTGGCTTCTAGGAAATCCCACTCTACTCTATCATAGGCCTTACTAATGTCCATCTTTATTGTCAGTTCTGGAACCCTTCCCTTTTTCTTACCTTTAAGGTGGTGGAAGACGTCATTAGCAACTACAATACTATCATGTATTTGTCTATTAGAGATAAAGGCCGCCTGATTTGGGGAAACCAAAGATCACATCATCCTCTTCATCCTGTTTGCTAGTACCTTTGAGATGATCTTGTATAAGAAGTTGCAGAGAGCAATAGGTCTAAATTGAGTAATGGATTTGGGCGCAACCTCCTTAGGAATGAGGACCACATTGGTGATATTGAGCCCCTTCTTCATCAGACCCTCCTCAAAGAAGTCCTTTGCCAAATGGAATACATCATGTCTTACAATGTGCCAAAACTTGTGAAAGAAAATTCCCGAAAACCCATCGGGCCCCGGTGCTTTAAGGGCACCCAGCTCACTGACAGCTTCCTGTACTTCAGCCTCTGAAATTGCCCTTAACAGCTCATTGTTCATATCCTCAGTGACTTTACACTCCACAACACTCAATGCTTCAGACCAGT